TTGTCAACATTTACAATGTATTGAAATATATGATAAAGATACTAAAAAAATCCGCACATAATAATTTGTTATATTGACAAAGTGAACATTAGTATTACCAATGATTTCAGGGATCAAAATTAAATACCACCTTTTTTTTGGTGACATATGGCAGAAGTGATGAATATTGATCAACAAAAAATACAGCTAAAAGATAACAGAAATAATATTTTATTTGACATTTTTTTTATTTTTTTTTGGTAGGGGTGTAAAAAAAAAATTCATTGTATTTAGAAAAAATATTTTTAGCAATTTATTTTTTTATTAACAAATATATCAACCACTAATAATTATAAATCACATTACTATACTAATAATAATACTATGCGTTTACATTGAATATTAAGATCATATATCACCACGAATACAACGTGCGAGTTGCATATCTTTTGGTTGTATTGTGATTTGTTTACCTGGAAATTTTTTTTGTAATCAAATAAATGATTTTTACCTTAATGAATTTTTATGAAACAGAAATTAAGTTTCTCACCATGAATAGCAGCTAGATTTGTGCCTTCAAATAAAGAAACCAAATAGGACTCAGAAGCCTATTTCAAAAATTATTTAATACACTAATTTAAAAAAAAGTTTTTTGATTTTAACCTCTTAGTTAAGAGAAGAAAATGCATACTTCTTGTAGAGCACTAATTGCAATAGATTGGAAATGAATATCTGGTCTAATACTTTGAGCTATTTCCTTTACAAGTCGTTGAAAAGGTAACATGCGAATTAATCTATTGGTGGTTTTTTGGTAATGTCTTATTTCACGTAAGGCCACTGTTCCTGGCTTATACTGATATGATCTTCTAGTTCTATTTTCTAGTTATTTCATTATTAATTAAAAGAAATATAAGTTTTTAAGAGAATGGGCCTTGACTTATTATTATGATCTTGAAATAGCACAAACCTGATTGATTGTTATTTGTTTCTTCTGCCTTTCAAGAGAGTAAAATGCAAAAATGTGAGTCAATAATATATGAAAAATTTTGCTATTTTTCTATTACCTTGATAGAAATATTGTCATGGATTATATCATCACCACCAGCAATTCCATTCAGACCCAGACACTTTACCGACACCCACTTTACCAACAACACGCGATGTGATATTTTAGCATTTTGTTAGTTTGTTTGATTATGTAGAGATTAAATGTAACCCCGTGTGTTGTTGGTAAAGTGTCTTGTCGGTAAAGTGGGTGTCAGTAAAGTGTCCCAGACCCATTCCATTAACTTCATCAACATTATCGATTACTTCTCTATTAATTTCTGGTTCTTGTAATTGATTTGATTTTAGCATTATTTACAATTTTCGTAAATATATTGACTAATTACATCTTTGTTTGATTAGGTTATTTACCATCTTCCAGATTATTATCATTGCTGTTACTAACGCCAACATTATTGTTATCTTCAAACCAAGAGGAAATTTCAAGTATGGAACTGTCAAGGTTATTAATGATCCTTTTGTCAATTGCAGCTATATTAAATTCGTTAACATTTTGAAGGTACACGATATTTTCAATGGTATTATCTCTGGTTTTTATTAAGTTGTTCTAGATGGAAAATTGATTATATTAGCTTTAAATTTCATTAAAAACGAAATAAAATCTGTTTTATTCATTTGAAAAAATGTAAATATTTATAGAAATGGATGATGCTTGTTTTTTTACATTTCTAAAAAGTATGAAATAGATCATTATTAATACTTGATAACTAGAGTGATGACGAGTGATGGCGGGCGATAACCACCACCACCATTCTTAAAACACTTACCCTTGAACTATATTATTATTGTAATCAATGTTATTGTTTCTTTTTCTTTTATTGCTTGACGACTTTTTTTTTTTAAAGAAAAAAAAATTTTTTAAAAGAAGTTTGACAAACGTGTACATTAATTATTTATCCTATTGGTTATTTTTTTGGTAGGACAGATGCGAATTGAATTTTTTTTTTTCTTTTCTTTTGGAAAAACAATTTATTTTTGACAGAGTCCAAGGTGAGTGTTGTAGTTTGGCTTATGGTTTGGTTTGTGTCTCTAAAGAAAACATGTTAATAATAGAGGTACTTTTTTTTATTTGTATTGTCTTTTTTGGTTATTATAAACATTTTAATTGAAAATCAAAACGCGGAGCAGATCATTGCTAGGGTAATTACAAGATTTTCATTGATAATATTTTGCTTTGTGTGATCAATAATAATAACATTAATATTAAATATATAATTACAAGAAGATGTCAAGGCAGCACACCGTTGAAAAAGAAACATTTCAAGTATGTGACATTTGATTACAGGAAAATTGGCAGATGTTGAAGCACGCGAATACAGTCATTCTTACACATTCCTCATGTACATAAGGCTAATCTGACCGAGTCACTCTCAATGATATGATATGCAACTGAATTCCAGGGAGAGTTGTTTGGCCCTGGAAGTTTACCAAGACTGTATCAATTGTCAATGACGCTTTCACTAATCTTCCCAGACCAGAGATGGCTGCTGCCATGCTGGCCGAAAAGTTGCCTGCAACGATCCTACCTCTAGGGAAGGATGGCTCTGTGACCAAGTTGCAACTCTGCTGATGAATTGTAAACATCAAAGCAACAAGAATCTGCAACTTGTTTCAAGCACAGGAAGTCGCAATTCAGAGCAGGGTTTGTGGCCCTGAAATCACATTTGAGCTCTGATGATAAGAGGAAAGTTGTAAAATAATGTTTTATATAATCATTTTCATATTTCTGTTTTTCTTTAATTTGTTTTTTGAATGGGGATAGGGTTGTTGGTGAGTGCAAGACAGCAACCCAGGACTCAAAACTCGGAATCCAGGGAAAAACCAAAACAAAACCCAGGTTGTAACCTTCCAAGTTGGAGAATTTTCAACCAGTTGCAGGTGCCAACTTTTATGCTAGTGTAGCAATAACACAAAGTAATCACCACACAAGCACCAACTATCAGTTATCAATGCCCATATGGTAACAGCCAAGCCTGGTCTGAGGGGAGGATAAGTAAAAGTTTTGTCCAAAGCCTTCCTAGTGATCATAATCATCATATTCATGAATATTCATTAAGGGGGTTACACTTATCAAATCATACAAAAATCCCTTAAAATTATGTGTC